GGAACTGGTGACGGTGTGCGCAGCAAAGGGGAAGCCGATGACGATGAGGGCGAGCTGGGAGGTGGTGGTGCTATGACCCGGTGAGGCGGCGCTTCGCGGTCGCGCTTGCGGTTCTTTGTCACAGAAGCGCGCCTTCGCGGCTTCACGCCCCCATTACTGCCGTACCTGTAGTCTGGGTACTCCCGTTTGTACCGCTCCCGCTCGAGTCGCGCCTCTTCGACATACGGGGCCCGTTCGCAGTCACTCAGCGTCTGCCAAATCGCGCCTGCAACGCGTGAGACCGAGTTTTGGTCCTTGTGCGGCTGAGACGATGCACCCAGGAATTCGGCTGGGTGTTTGTAGTAGTAGGAACGGAAGAAGATGAATGGGTTTTTCGGGCGGGGAATGTAGTCGATGGGCATAGTATCGGTAGCTCGAGTAGAGATAGGTGTCTTGTGGTGCTGGCGAAGCGTCCTTTGCCTTGTCTTTGTCCCATAGCAGCCATCCTCTTTGTAGCCAAAGCGCGGGAAGACGACACTTGTATAATAGCACGTCGTGGCAGCCTCGTGTGCGAAGCCATTGAATTCCCATCACACCATAACGTACAGCTCCTTTTTAACTCGGCTCGGAGGCATTCGTGGTGCTTTATTGAGGGTCTACACTTATCGATTGGCGACAATCACATCGGGGACGGGGTGCGCTACATAAGCGATATTAAGGGCCTTAGCTTATGCACGGACCGGAGCTGAAAGGACATTGAAATGAGTCGTACGGAAGGAGAACGAAGGTTGTTGATCCTTACTTCGTGCACGTTCCAGGATAGCTGTAAGTCGCCTAGGTCTCAAGACAGCCGTAGGCACTTTGCACCTTGACGTGCTAGTCTCATACGAAATATAATAGGACCCTGGATAATACACTGACATCGTTGATCCCGAATTTCCCAAAATTTCGTCCTCATGTCCGACAGGCTTAGTCACTGTATTATCCAGGGTCCTAATATAATACTGCATTGCAAGGGGGCAAACACATTGGGCGACCTAGCGTCTGGGCCCGTCATTTCAAATACTGAGGGAGCGATACGGTTCTACTGCAAGCAGAGTCAGTCAGGTTCCCGGAGGAGATAAAGTACATCGAGCACTCACAGTCGTCCTCAATCAAGCGTGTCAAGGAGTAGGAGCCGAGGCACATGTATTCTTCTCTTCTTCGAGGAAGCGCCCGACGAGAGGTTCTCGCGGTCCCTGCACGTCCAGTAGACCGCACCCTGCTTTGCGTCCACGGACCGCATCATAGTGACGTGCTGACTCAAGAATAACCGTTTGGGCACCTCTCGGAAAGTAGGAAGTTCCCGTAACATCTTCATTTGACTCTTGTAATCTCGTTTGTCACTGAACTGCGGTACGCTTGAGTGCATCAACAAGTCACCCCGTTGATTGTAATCTGACGGATGGTTGCGTCAAGATGCTGAACACCATTTTTGAGCAGAAGGCTTACCGTTTGTCCTATACATAAGCCATGATTCTGACGCGTCAGTAGGTCTCCAATCATGAAATCACAACTCTTTAGAGGCTACGACTGAAGCAACATCTTGACTAGCAGATCTGTATCGACGATTTCGAACATAACAACTTCCTCGGCGGGTTGCGTGAGGCTTGTGCTAGCGTTAGAGGGAGATGTGGGACCCGAAAGAAGAGAGGTATACTGTAGTTGGCAGTAAGATCATCATAGTACTGTGTCCATGCATGTCCAGGTCCCCCGTCCGTCTAGACCAAAGTGCGGGCTGTAGGGAAAGACGAGGGAAAGCAGTAGGTTGGGAAGACCTTAGTCTTCAACAGCTAAAGAGTTCTTGTATGCAGGCTTGTCCTACGCTTCTAACGGAGACAAATAGAGGGTAGCCATCATTTTTATCAGTTACGTCCACCGAGAAGAGGCGAACCAGTTGCCACGTGAGTGCTAGAAGGATAACATAACAAAAGGGCGTAAACCGAGCATGAGAAGTTCTCAATCCGGCACAAGCGTCGACGGGCATTGAACACGTAGTTTACATGCACGAAGAATCTGGTGCACGTAGGTCATGCCGCAATTCAAAGAACAGAACAACGTACATGATATACAATTGATAGGTCAATAGTGTCGACTGAGTTTGAGCCTCTGCTGGTGGCCGCAGGTGGTAGAGAGGAAAGAAGCGCGTGTGGTTAGGGTTACCTGACTTCCGACAAACACCGAATCTCACCCGAAACCACCATCATGACGCGCCACATGCACTCTTGATGGACTCGAACGTTCATTATATCTATCAGAAACACATTTCGTCTATCTAACTCTGGTAATAAATAGCTCCAACTTCCTCCGAGCTTCAGGCTGCCAATCTCTGCCAATGAAGGCACTTTATGCGCATGGTCATCTCATTTATCGGCAGCTCTTTTCGTTAAAAGACCTTCCGAAGAACATCCAACATGATATGCGGCTCTTCTGGTCATGACAATCTATGTCCGGTGCGCGAAGCGGTCCGCGGATAACCTTGACTTTATAAACCGACTCAAGGACAATAACACGGAAGCTCTCGTCCACTATGAGATTCATCTCGTCGCTTGCCTCGCTTTCTTCTCTGCTATTCGTCGGTGTCAAAGCTGTAAGCTGGTACACGGTTGAATGGGACGCTGGGTACTATCTCCTCATTCGCAATCGCCTATTGGCTGCTGATATCTACACAATGCTGGCAGGACCTTCACCTCAATGTCCGGCGACATGGTCGTTCCTAATCTGCCTCAGGCGGGCGGTACACCATATGTTTGGCCTGGAGTCCAAAGTAACAACGGCGTTCTTCAAGCCGTCTTGGATGGGCGTAGCGGGACTTGGTGGATTGGCGACGGCTTCTATGGCACACCGTCCTTGCCATGGGGCAACGGTTATAACGTGTATCCAGGCAATACCGTGCACTTCACTTTCGATCTGGTTGGTCTTATGATTTTACTTCTTGTGAAGGTATATTCTCTCATCTTGTAATCAGTCCAGCAGTTCTGTTTGGACATGCACATTGACCAGCGGAAGTCAATCGGCAACTTCCACGCTCAACGTGACGGGCAGTACAATGAATCGGTGAGTGTTCCTTGAGGCTGTCGGACTTCTATCGGTACTCAATATCTTGGTAGTGCGATCTTCGCTGTTGAGGTACTGGCATGTGTCATCCTGGCGGAAAATCATTCTGAAATACCTGCAGTTATACGATGTACCCTTCGATTTTGGGCCAGTTACTTATGTATGACTTTCCATCACCGCTGCCTTTGCAAGCTAAAGAATGGATCTAGAATAACGTCAAAATCACGGCGACTAGTGCTGCGTCGGGCTGGTGCGGCTCTTGGCCTCACCTAGGGGACTATGTGAGTGGCATTCTGGGAGTACTACCCTATAATAGCTGACTGGTCGTAGCCATTCACGGTCACCGGAGCCACAGCTAGCGGAAATACATGCAGTGTTTCGAAAATCGTGCAAAGCAGCGCGTCTTGAACTGCTTTGGATTGTACGAATCTTTGTTCTAGTAGGTCCAGCTTAGTCTGAGTATAACGGTTTCAATATCCTACGCCCCGGTCAAAATGTACAAGGAAATGTCCTCGGCATACAATTTCGCTGGCGTCTTGACGGATGCGATGACCTTCATTCCGAGGCGTTCATACCATGCGCACTGCAATCAATCACTCAGCATCTCGTTTTGGATGAGGACAAGGGACGGACATTCGCCGTAGTTTGAGTCGAAAGGCCGATGTTTGCGCCTTCCTTTGAGGCCTGCATGTTCTTCTGATTAGTGGCGAGGGTACCAGCTGAAGCCAACCTACCTTCGCCTGCACCGTTCGCAGAAGTGCGCTACCGAGTCCCAGCGTCTGATAAGCTGGGTCCGTGCCCATGAGACTTATCCAGTACGAATCCTTGGCCAACTAAAAGGCCCCTTAATTCCCTCAACCTGCGTTAATTGACGACCTACATTTTGAAGCCCTTGACTGATCGTATATTCCCCTAGTGTTTGTTTGAACTTGTCAAGACTTGAGCCTTCGACATCGGTCGACAATATGATTGAACGAAGCCATACCTCATTCCACCACGTCTGAACATCTAGAGGCAATTTCGTCCAATAATCATTCCATCCATTTGGTTGCGCACGCTGTTCTTCCCTGTATAACAATCAGAGCAAGAACCACCGTTCGTATGAGTGGTACGCCACGTTGAGAAGATAGCCTTTCCGGGCTCGAAGAACAGGCATACGGCGTTGATACCTTCTGATGGTGGGCCCTTGTGGCTCTGAGCCACGTAGATGTGGCCTTGAAAAGCGGAATCGGCTAGCATTGCTCTGAAATATGCCCCTGCTAGAGCGTGATCGTCACCGGACATACACTTGAGGAGCACGTCTGTCACCCATTAGCCGTCGATCCTGTGCGAACCATCTGAACTTACCGTCTGAGTAGGCTCGCAGGAGTAGTTGTACGATATCATCGATCTGCTTGTCTGATCTACCTGAGCAAGTACATGAAAAAACTCAGAATGTCACTGGCTTACCTGTAGGATTTTCCAGTCGTCTAACAGATATATCGCTCGACATCGACATCGCTGTGACAAGCAGAGACGGCCTTCATGCGAAAACATCAACGACCCACCGTAAGAAATCAAACTCAAGACCTGACCCTAGATTGTGGTGATTGTGTACAATCTACATTCACTCATCGCAGCGATGTTACAATTACTTAGCGGCATCTGTATACACTCATGAAATCAAACCTTCACCATCGGCGCCATAAAAGCGCCTTCAATTTGGAACTGGGGAAAAACTCAAAGTTCTCAATAAGCACAAGGATCGACTGTATCTCAATCAGCCGCTGTCATATGAAGTTAAAGAGTGCCATACATTGTGACTTCAGGCCTGCCTAAGGGCAAGCATCAGCGGCCGGAGATTTAGTATTTAGTATTAAACATTTACTGCGCCACTCTAATCAAGGACAACGAGGACAAAAAAAATGCCTTACAAAGGTCTCTCATTCCCGCTAGCCGGATTGAACGACTGACCTCGCCATGTAAAGATATTACGAGTGGCGCGCTCTACCACTGAGCTAAGAGGGATAAAGAATTACTCTGGATGCCTTTCCTCATACAGCCGATCACATATCCGTCCATCCCACTGCCAGAGCAAGGCAATATTCTTAACTACAGCGATAAGAATCCCAGATTGCCCGCTATAACTATCTACTGTCAAACCTTCTGGACAACATACTTGTCCCATCCCGGGAAAGCCATATTCGACTTTCTCAGCCTCTGCATCTCCTTCTCGCGATCCGTCAGCTCTGTCTTCATCGTCATGGTCAGCTTTTGCTTCCCCTTCTCCGTCACTTCGCGATGATGTTCCCATAACGGCACATCGCTCGTCGGAAGAATACATATCTTTAGTTTCACCGAATCCGCGGGCGTCTTGGGAAATGGTATGGGTTTCGTGGCCTTGGGCTTCGCTATACCGAGATACTCGTGCAAATGCTCGAGATATTGTTGGTCATCCGAAGACGAAGACGACGCAGGTAAGGGCGGCGCAGTGTTGGGAGGCAGTAAAGCGATCAATTCGCTTTGAGCATCCCGATTACTGGGTTGGAAGCGGAGGATGGTACGCAGATCTTGAGGAATAGGTCAAATGAGTGGAACAGGTTCAAGTAATGTCAAACCTTTCATAGCATCGTCCGTTTTCCCAAGCATTTGACGAGCCTTTGCACGACGGAAGAGACCTTTACTACTCCGATGTTGGCTTAATGCCTTGGAGCAGGCCTCTTCTGCCTCAATCCATCTTGGAAAATATATCAGTACAGACCACTAGGACGAAACAAGGAACACACTTCGACAATTTAAGACATGCCGCCGCTATGTTAAGTTGATAATGTGGAAGCTCGGGCTCAATTTTATGAGCAGCCTCATAATGCGTGATCGCCGTGTCGAACAGAGCGCGCCTAAAGGCAATGTTACCTTGTTCCTTCTCATGTTCGGCGCGCAGGAAACGCCATTCCATGATTTCCCCGATAGTCATGGAAGGATCAACGCCTTCCTCGAGCTCATCGGGGTCCATACCGCGGAAATCCAACTCGAGTTCCCATATGTCTTCTTCCTCGTCAGTCTCCCATCCGAATATACCACTGCCTCGTCCATCCCACTCTCTTTGTTTGCCACTCCGTACACCACTTTCCTCCTCGTGCTCTCTTACCGTCTTTTCGCAAACGTCTCCAAGGTGGTCGGTCGAACAGCCGCACTCACACCACTTGTTGGACAGTTTATCCCGAAGAATTTGCCCGTAGCCACGGATGTCAAACTCTTTAGCCACACGCCAGAGCGTCTGGACAGTTTTATCATACCCTAAGCGCACCTTCGGGCGCCAATCACTTTCCTCGCGCCATTCCAAAGGGATCTCGCTCCAGCGGGCATACTTGGTTTGACACGCCTCTTCGAGAGTGTGTTGGCCCGCCGCAAATCCGCCCAAATGAGGCGGTTTGAGTAATGTCGGAGACGCCATGGACTCTAAGGCGGCCAAGTGTGCTTTAATACCGGAAATGTATGGCAATAATCGCATGGAATGTAGTCCCTTTTTCTGACAGATGGCTACGCCGTTCGACATGGCCTAGATTGTTTCATTCACGACAAATGAGAGAGCAAACAAAATGCCGAGACTCACGAAATGCCGAAGTGCTGTATAGGACCACAGCAGGCTTTTGGTGCCACACGCTCACCAGCCTGCCTGAGATCCATGCCGATGACGGTGCGGAAAAAGTCCTTGAGCTCTTCAGAGTCAGCGTTGTGCGCGGCCCAGCCGGGTCCTGCGAGCGTAACGCACTTCATGACGAAGGTGGGTATGTACACGACGGAGATGTGGTGCAGGCGCGTCGAGAAAAGTCGGGCAATGTCCTGTTCGTATCGGAGAAGTAGAATTCGCGCAAGGGCACGCTCCAGTTCAGATACAGCAGATTTGGCCTGGGTTAAACTGCGGTCTCCGTGTGGGTTGGGCGTGTCATGACGCCGGTTGTGTGTATGCTTCCCAGTGCTGTTAGTGCCCTTTTTCGAGTTTTTGGGAGCAACGGGTGGCCTCTTTTTAATGTGCGAGTATTTAGCAGGCATGGTGTCGCCTAGGATAGTCGCAGTGGTGTCAACAGAACAGCTTCTGGACAGATCGAATGACAACGCACAGTCAATACGATAGCTCCTCTTCCGGAATAGTTGGGTATAGGCCAAGAAAGTGTAGAGAATCCAATATCCAAAAAACAAGAAGCCGCGGTTAAGCGCCAAAGGTCAACTTTGCTAGTCTGTCTGTTGACGAGGTGACGGGAATAGGGAAACCGATTATCCCCTGTCTATGATCACGTCAGGGCCATTAGCTCACGAGATTCACGCTTTGGCCGGAGTCGCTCAAAATGGCAAAACAAAGCAGTAATCCTCTCATATAATAACCTCTGTTTCCTTCATTACAGCAGCCTATGTATCATGGCTTGCTAGACTATACAGCTCCCAGTCTACGTGCGCCTTTCCTTGAGCTCTCAACCCCTTCAAACAATCACTGCACACCCATTCGGTATAGGACGCGAATATCTCTGAAACTGAATCCCTTGCCGGTGGGAGTGGCGATATCCTCACGCTCTTCAATGCCTCGAACTCTGGACGACACAGTGCTGCATCTAATCTCTGCCAGCACAGTGGAACTTCGTCCCGGTCCTCTAAGCCGCTACGCATCGTAAAGCCCAAAGGATGCATGCAGATCGTGATGTTCTCCAAAGTGGAGAGTTTCCTGGTTGCCTCAAATATATCAGACCACCATTCCAGGATCGCATCCGACGACTCGAATACGAATGGCATGTAACTGCATCGCAGCGCTCCAGATCGGGAAGCTGCAGGTGGATTTCTGGAAAGCCTACACAGAATTGATACTAGGACTAAATATAAAATCAGGTGAACGGCACTCACCCAACTTTATGTTAAGGTCCAGTAGCTCTACGGAGCCTGCCGAAATATCGAGGAGAGATTGTATCTTCTCCAATCGTGGCGTACTGCATTCTGCGATGACGATCCAGATGACATTCAATTCATCGAGAATTACTTGGGAATCCGAGCTCAATAGCCAGTCCAAAACGACATCGTCAGACGTGTCGGCAATCTCAATCATCAAGTCCACTATGGTGGCTCTGTCTTCCTCTGCGACAGTCGGGACGTCGATAGGCTCGTCGTCCTGATCATCGATCATCAACGCCTCGTTCTCTGCTACATCTGGCACAACTGTGTGCACCATTCCCACATCTGCGACCTCTACGTCCTGATTAATGATCATGTCCTCAAAATCGTCTTCCGACTCCTCATCGCTGAGATTACCCACGGGCGTGCCGATATCCAACATCAGCCCCATACCCTCGATGTCCATACTATCAAGAATCGTGAGCTCCCGGAGCGACAGGTCAGTGAGCTTCTTTCCCGGGCTCAGGACGAGACTCTGGACCTGCGCCAGGTTCTGGAACACACATTTCTGCAGCTGCAGCGAGCCCACGCTCCGAGCGACAGAGAGAAGCGCCCGGTGGCACCTCCCGCGCTGCTTGAAGATGGGCCACACAAGCTTCTCGATGTTGAGATCCTCAACGCTGGTCATCATCTCGAGGGCGAGGACGAACGCATCGTCGTCATACGCCCACAGCGTGCCGCGATTCACCATCTTTATGGCACGCCGGCTCGCGTTGGCGACATACAGCGTACCCAGGCCCTCAACGATCGTCAGGTTCTTCACGAGAGTGGGGATATGTGGGGAGAGCGAGACGAAGCCCTCGCAGGCAGCTGCGTCCTCCTCATCCAGGGTGATGCAGTTGAACTGTCTCGCTTGGCTCCGCATCCGCGTACCGCGCGCGACGAGCGCGAGCGATGGGAGGCATTCCGGGTCGCAGAAGTCGATGATCGCCTCTATGATCTCCTGCGGGAACATAGGCTTTATCAGGTTGGTGGTCTGCATCGAAGGCTTGTGTACCCTTCTAGCGTTCTTGGTGGGTACAGCTAGGAATTGTTACGTACGTCTTACATATCATGATTGGATCACACTTGCTCTGAGTTGACGGAGGCTTTGTTGGGGTAGAAAGCCTTTTATGAATGAGTTGTTGATTCTACAACTCTCCCACAGGCTACAAATGCGGTTATTTCTGATGAGCGGCTTGGTATTTGCAATATTTATCCTGTACACGATCGTCCATATCGTTACACTGGTGGGAAGTAAATGGGTATGAGATACTTCGAGCTCTGGGATACCAAGGGTAGGCAATCATCACTCTCTTTGACAGTTTTCTTCCAGACGATCGCCTAACCTGAAAGGCCTGCCGATATTCTTTTGATGCTCAAAGTGCCATGCCGAGGGATGATTTCTGCTGCGACATCCAACACAGCTTGCTCATGGGCAGTGGGGGTGTTCTATATTAGTCAAGTAACATGAGCGTACTTTTACTCTACCTGCTCTATTTCTTCGCCTTCGTTATCCGCTGTCTCTTGTTCTGATCCATAACCAGCTTCCTCAGCCGTATACTCTTCGGCGTGACCTCAATCAGCTCATCGTCATCCATATACGCAATACTCTCCTCGAGGTTCATTATGCGCGGCGAAGAGATGACAATCTTCTCGTCTGCGCCGGCGGCTCGTATGTTGGTAAGCTGCTTTTTCTGGCACGGGTTCACGTAGATGTCCTGCGACTTGGAGCATTCGCCAATAACCATGCCGGGGTATACGTGAGTGCCGGGGTGTATGAACATGGTACCGCGCGCCTGCAGTGGCGCGATGGCATACCCGGAAGACTCCCCAGTGACCATAGAAATGAGAGCTCCATTCCGCCCAGTGTCGACAGCACCCTTATGGGGGAAGTATCCCTTGAAGATGTGATTCAAAGTTCTGTAATGAAGTTAGAGCAACCTTGAGAATATCAACGAAAAAAAAACGTACCCTTCGCCATGGACATCGTTTTTAAACTCTCCAGCCATGTAGCCAATGAGACCACGGGCAGGAACGTCCATCTCAATCTTCACAAAGCCAGGTTCCGTATTCTCGTAGAGAAGCATTTCTCCCTTGCGCATGGTCAG